AGGACCGGTTTCCCAAAGCGTAAAGGAGTTTTGGTCAGAGAATACAAATGTTGCTGATAAATTCATTGATAGATAATTGAACCCTTTTAGTCGATCTGAACGTGCGCAGAGGCAGGGAATTTGTCACACTAGTTGCTACTTGTATAAACTTATCCCTATCCCGATGCAGTTATTTTCTGACGATTCCGCAACCAGGCGTGGTTATTCTTTGTTTAAATTGGCCCTGGTTGCCAGGCTGTTCCAATTTTTGTTAGGTACCTTATATCATGGAAAGTGAATGCGGGACATGACATTAATTACCATCGCCCACTGTGCGTGGGTTGGTCTACAGAAATATCGTGGTTACCACTATATACACCAGTAGCCTTCACGGCGTCGAGAGGGGTGTTCTTCTGTTCTGAGGGGATGTTTAAAGACAAGAGGATCCATATCATTGCACTTGGTGTCACAAATGTATCGGTATCTCAGTGCAGAGCCGCTGGCCACAAGAGTGGCATACGAAACTTGTTTCAGCGCCCCCACCCCCATCCCCCTCCCAACAGCAAATTGTATATTTATCTAACTTTTCACATGTATATCCGTCTATCTTTGCTTCTGTCAACTTTTTGTGTGCCGAATCTGTGTGTGCATTTACTCAAGAACCACTCTTGTTCCACGCGTGCATCGTAGGAAATCTTTTCTATAAATCAGAGTTTGGGTTGGTTGTCTTTTGATTAACGGTCACTTTCGTTTGCACGACAGTCTGCGTATATGCCCCAGTCTCTTTGATAGACCGCCTGCAAGAGAGTGGGCGAACTCTGTAGTACCGGCGGGCATCCAGACGTGTGTATACTAGAATAAGAAATACTGTCAGTGTTCTTTTATGGGCTGGTTATGAAGCATGGCAGCTACCTGTTGGTCTGCTCTTGTAGATTTCCAGCTGTCTTGTGATGTTTAACAGCCTGTGCTCGGCGCTTCCGAATTGTCACCCTTGTATGAAACAAGGCTTCGTATCCTTCATTCCCATCGAGTCCTCTCGGTACTTTAATTTCTGTTCACCCCAAACATGAGTAATCCCGTAGTTTCCCGGAAAGTCCTATATAAAAGGGATGTTACGGTAAGTCGGTGGTAATTTCAAACCGTAATACCCCCCCATAAAATTGGACTTTCTGGGGAACTACGGGATTCTTCATTTTTGGGATGAACAGAAAATAAAGAACCAAGGGGACTTAACGGGCAGAAAACAAAGAACCAAGGGGACTTAACGGGGATGAAGTTTTTGTTTTATACATGTAACTGTTGTAAATTTAACGGTATCAATTTGTATTGTAACTAGTAATTTATGTGTTTAATATTATCGGCTTCTACATGCACAGTTAATTCTAAAAACACGTTATCATTTTTTCCCGCGACTGTAGTAAATGCCGTTTATAACGGTTGCATTTTCAATGCTCAACTATAGGAGATTCTGCCGTTAACCCCAATTATGTGTGGGTGTAGAAGAAAGCCAGAAGTTACTGGAAATAAAAGCTAGGTAAAGGAATGCGGGTATTTTGTAGCCAGTAAGGCTTTGGCAAGATTTTGATTTCTTCTTTTTTTTTCCTCGCCACGAAATCAGTTATATACAATGTAGTGTAAATCTGTTAACACTAGTGAGTTGAGCCCTCGACCTACTCGTGTGGGTTCTGGGATCCCATTATGGGGGGTGGGGGGGGCAGACCCACTCACCTCTAAAGAGTACATCGTAGAAGTCGACTAATTATGGGTGTTTTCCTTCGAAGTTGGAGTGTATCTGCCTGAAAGGTGAGAGACCAATATTCTGCACACAAATAAACCAGATATGTAAAAAGGACGTGCACGCAAAACTCCAGAAGTGGACAAACAACCAGAACTTTCTGCAGGAGTTTACAGCCCGTGAACCCTTAGAAGAAGACGAAGACCCCTTGACCACATCGTTGCACTGACAAAACTGCCCATTACTGCCTCTATTATATCACTTTGCGAGGGGGGGGGGGGGGTCTTTGAGCCTGAGGATGTAGGGCCTCTTGGTTAGTGTTGTCGCCACGGACTGTGCAGGTGGGGAACTTATTATTAATCCCAACAGGAAAAAATTTCCCAACCTTACCAAAGATTCGAACCCAGGTCGTGTTGCACTGTCCCCGAATAAATTAGTAGATTTGAAAAGAAGTCATTTCAGTGTAGTAATTTGTAGCCATCACCATTATCTAGTGCGGTGCTGAATAGCCTAGGCAGTCATTAGCAGTATCATATTATTTCTGTGTTCTAGATCTAATTGTACCTTGCCGCTTGGAACCGTCTAGGCACTTTGTTAATAAGGTCTACAGAAGAAAATGCCGGTTCTCCTTCTCAGAAGTCAAGCAACGTTAGCCATCGCTAGTACCAGCTAGGTGCCCACCGGGGCGTATTTTTTTTTTTTTTTTTCAAATTGAGCTTGGCTCCCAGGTCGACGCAGCCTAAAACTGGTACCAGGTGATACCCTAGGAAGTAAAGACGCTCATTCTGAGTTTATCACAGCAACATCGAGTTCTGATTGTCCTATAAAATATAGGTCTAGCACTATATACTCCTTTATGCCCACTGCGCCCAAAGACATGTAAGGGAATCTACCCCCCCCCCCCCCCCCCCTCATTATGCAAACCACTTTACACATTCATTGTCACCATGGCCCATCCCTGGCTTCGTCTTCCCTGAACCAAGTATTTGGTGGCTTTATTATTATAAACATACCGATGTTCGTACTTGGGTACCCTGATGGAAGATGTATTAAAGAAATTAAATATAGAATAGCTCAAGCAAAGGCAGCATTTTACAAAATGAAGAATATTTTATGCAATCTTTCTTTTGTCATTTGAGACGAGAAAGATAATTTTTAAAAGCTGTGCAAATCCTGTCTTCATATGCGGAAGTGAATCATAGACAGCTGGTAGATTAGTGACAAATTATTTGGAAGCTGCTAAGATGTGGTTTTATAGACGAAGGATGAGAATACCCTGGACAGATAAAAAGAGTAATGAAAATGACTTGGAGAAATTGACTCACGAAGAGAACTGACAGCCCACACCTGTAAGAGACAATCTACATTCTTTGGTCATGTGATGAGAAAGAGAAAACTGGAGTAGATCTTGACGGTAGGAAAGTTGGAGGGGAGCAGACGCAGAAGGAGACCGAGAGAACAGATGCTGGACAGTTTGACATCATGGCAGGGAGAATCAGCTGTGTCAAAGTTGATTGAAAGTACACGAGACCAAAGTTTGTGGATAGACATGGCTTATCAAAGCCATATGGCATAGACTTTCAGAAGAAGACTGGTGTTTGTACATGTTAACAAGAGAAGAGACAGGAGTGTAGCTTCTTTAGCGGTTTTGTGAAGACTTGTTTCTAGTTCTTATCGTCCACATTGATTGATTGGAAAGCTATGTTAACAAGAGAAGAGACAGGAGTGGAGCTTCTTTGGGCGGGGCTGTGAAGACTTGTTTCTAGTTCTTATCGTCCACATTGATTGATTGGGAAGCTATGTTAACAAGAGAAGAGACAGGAGTGTAGCTTCTTTGGCGGTTTTGTGAAGACTTGTTTCTAGTTCTTATAGTCCACATAGATTGGGAAGCTACAATTACTACCTCTCTGCTATCAGTGTGAATATATCAGGTTGCTCAAGATTACGATGGGTATGTTTGCGGGGACTCCTTTTTTTCGTTTCCTTCTGACAGATGTTTTTCTGTTGCTGCAGCTGATATAACTTCTTCCCTGAAGCATACGCATTTGACCACTTTATTGTGAAGACTTCAGTCCTTACTGTGCTCCTGCTTCCCCTTTCTCTCTCCTCTATTTCTCTCCTCTCTTTCTCTGTCTCTCTGCGCTCTTTCCTCCATATGTGTTTTTGTGCGCGCATATGCTCCCTTGATGTTTATCTCACGTAGAAATCTTGCGATGATGTCTACTGTAATTAGCCCGTCACAGGTGCCAGCCGTCGTGTTCCATTCAAGCCGACGTCGAGACAATCGCCCATTAAGTATTCTTTAGTTACAGAGCAAATACGAATTCCACATACCCTGGATGAAATTGTACTGTCAGGTTTTTTTGGGGTCACATATGGGCATTGATTACCTTCGGCACATGTGCCTATACGCTTACATACACATACATAACATGTACCATCGTGAATAGTTTTTACCTTAAATATGTCCGAGTGATAATGCATTGCTGTCAAATATTCACATTTAGCCCTGGTTCGTAAGTTACTATGGACGGAAATGGAAACAAAATTATCAATATAACATAACAATGCATGGCACAAGAGATTACGGGGGGGGGTATTTTAGACTGCACTTGTTCTGTGAAACAGCTAGAATGTAAATACAGTATTAGTTTAGTATCAGTCAGTGAATATGCAGTAAGATTCTGTAACTGTTCCATTTTTTTTAAATAAGTTATTTGTACAGTAATTTTACATTTAATCTACCTATAATTTACTTCTTTTAAACATTAGATTTCGCCAAGTTTGCAATCTTATTAGTTTAAACGACTAGTAGTAAGAGAAAGCTACATCTTCCCAGTCCCAGAGGTATAAAACATAACGAGAGATAAGTCTTCCCAATCCTGGACAAATCGAAGACACGTCTCCCCCATCTTGGAGGAATAAGACAAATCAGAGACACGTCTTACCAATCCTGGAAGAATAAGACAAATCAGAGACACGTCTCCCCCGTTCTGGAAGAATAAAACAAATTGGAGACACGTCTTCCCAATCCTGAAGGAAAAAGACAAATCGGATATACGTCCTCCCAGTCCTGGAAGAACAAAACTGATAATCAGCGACAGGTCTCCCCAATCCTGGAAGAAAAGCGGTAACCATACAGTAGCTCCAGATCATGTCCCGACCAGCTCGATCTGCTTCTGGTAGTGGCTACTTGCACATGCTGTCCTCCCGTTACGAGGCTTCCTCCTCCGCTGACACCCCAACATCTTCTCATCCTAAAAGGCATTCCTATACCTCGTTTCAGGATGAACATGCTGCTGCCGATAGTGGATTATCATCCAGGGCTGCAGTCAATGAAAACAGAAACGCTGGTGAGTATTGTTGTGTTCATACATTACTCTGATCTGTTTCAAGTGATGTGTGATGTTAGGGTGACCATATGCCTTGTTTTGTTGTTGTTGTTTTTTTTCGATCTGCACAGTCACCTTTTAAATTCTGTTTCGTGGATGCTAACAAATTGTAAGTTTTTTTTTTTTTTTTACAAATCTACGAACTAGCTAGAGAATTGAGTTGAGTTGGGTCAAGAATTGACATCACAGCACTCTGGCATTTCCATGTGTGCTCCGTCCTCATCTTCAGCAGCCAGCGCAGAGTTTCAATACTGATGGTACCGACCACAATCTGGTTATATGTCTGTCTTGCTTTTCCTCTGAGTGTAATGAGCCGGCCAGACCCTCTGGTTACACCCAAGTGCCTCATTCTCTGCAAGCCATAATAAATAATCTTGTTTCTCTACTGATTCTATTTAGCTAGAGAATAGAACATGCACTTATAAATATATCTGTAGACCTTATTAGATTTCATAGTTTTGGATACCTTTAATATCTGACATTTGTTGATAGGAATTTTCATTGTAAATTCTCTCTCCACCTAATGCAGTTAAAGAGCTTATTAGTTTGTTTATTTCTTGGTGACAATGTTTCAGGTTTTACGACCATTTTCCGGGGAGTATTTAATGAAACCTTTGACCCTGATGGCCTAGAAAAAAGGGTGTGGAGTAATACAAATTTGCTTCAGATGTCCCGTTTTCAGCTCAGATTATTAGTAGGATGTCCTGTTTGCAGCTCAAGATATTGTGGTCACTCTAGATGGATAATGCATATGTGTGATTTGGTATGTGATAGACAGTTACTCTTGACTTGACATGAGTTGAGTGGAATCAAGAACCTACTTCACAGCATGCAGGGCAGTCCAATGAGTGTTCCTTCCACACCTTCGGCAGATATCACAGAGTTCTATTCCAGTTTTACCAGTAGCAGTTTGATTGTATGTCTGTCTTACCTTTACTCTCAGTGTTGAATGTCACCCAAAGGCTCTGCTCAGTCTCTGCTGCATCTTTCTGTTTAGACCATGATGATGATCCTTGTGAATAACGAACATTGTGTGTGTTGTCTTACTTCTTATATTTGGTCAAAACAAACTAAGGAAACTGTCTTCTTCTATGGCTGTTTCCACTGAGTATTAGATTCTGAAAGTTATGGTTTAATGATTTTTTGTAAACACTCATTGCTTGTTTAAGACATTCACCATAAAACTTGCAACTGTAAGCATTGCTGTTGAATTGTATCTCTGAGACAATTAAGGAAGGTTAGCTTCAGACGGTTTACATCATCCAGAGGAGCGCCTATCCAAGATGTTAGGAAGGCAAGCAGGTCAGATTTCTGTTTCTGTGGGGTGGCAAAAAATAAAATCCTAGCTAGCATAGTCTATAGAGTGTATGGTGATTGCACTAGCCATGAGACTTCAATCCCCAGGCTTCACTCTGTCTTTGTCCATCCTTTAAAAAAAAAAAAATGGGGGGGGGGGGGGGGGGGGGGGGGGGGGGGGGAACCTTATATCTCTCTTGTCATCCGAAGCAGTAAAAGAGTGGGTATAGAAGATCCACATTACAATCACAACAGGAATGGCATTTTAAAGTAGATATGTGTGTGTAAAAGAGAGAGATCACAGATCTCTCAAAATTGTTCTGTGGACATCAAAGTGGGAATGTTCTAACACACACAGATCATGATCGGTATCTTTCTATTACTTTCATGATCAAACCTTTATTTGCAGGCTTGGATGACCAACCAACACAAGAGTATGTTCCAGATCGTAGGTATGTATGGCATTAGTATTACCTGTGAGATGTTTTTTGCTTGCTTTTTGTGTGTGTGGGTGCGTGCGTGCGCGCGCGCGCGCGCACGTACACACACACCAATTTACCTTATATATATATATATATATATATATATATATATATATATATATATATATATATATATATATATATATATATATATATATATATATATATATATATATATATATATACAGACACACACATACACATACATACAAGATCCGACTGAGATTAATTCCATAAATATTAAAATAATCAACTGTTTAAGACATAACCTGTATTTTTTTTCAAAGTAAGCCCCTTGTGCATTGATACAGCGAGTGACACGATCTAACAAACACTGGATCGACCTCTGTAGCTCTTCTGTTGTTAGGGCTTTAAAAGTCAATGTTATGACCCTTTGGATGGCATCATTATCATCAAAGAAGCAACCTTTCAATGGTAACTTTAATTTTGGGAATAGAAAATAGTCACAGGGAGACAAATGTGGGGAATAGGGTGGATGGTTGAGAACACATACTTGTTTTTTTGGGGTAAAAACATTCATGTGCAACTACCCACCGGTCAGCCAGTGCATTGTCTTGAAGAAGAAAAAAAAACTACCAGGTGTTGAATACTCGGGTCGGAATCGGAGAATCATTTTCAGTAGATATTTCAAAATACTTAATTAAACTGGCTGTGACAGTTTGTCCCTCTGGAATAAATTCTTTGTTGATAACTCCTTTGCTGTCATAGAAGCACATCATCATTGTCCTCACTTTCGACTTTTGAAGATGGATTCGTTTGCATTTTGGTGATGATGATGACTTTCAATGAGCAATTTGGCGTTTAGTTGCAAAGCAGGAAATCCATGTTTTATTCTCGGCAACAATCAAATTTAGGAAACTTTTATTTCTTTGTGTCTCTTTGAAAGAAAATAATTTTTTAATACCTGTGATGGTAGCAGTGGTCCTGAGATGCCATGCTCTAATTGTGAAAGACTTTTCTTAACAAGAGGGGGGTCTTTCTAGCCACACTCAAAATTACTATACCTGTCATTCCCATACTTCTTAAAGCACAGTATAAACACCTGTGTTTAGGAACATTGCAAGGTGGCAACAACAATTTATAGCAATATGCAGCATATGACAGATTATTTCCATATGTTTGTTCTGTTTTATTTAGCATTGTTGCCTTTCATTTTCAGAGCAGAAGAAGGCAGTTTGAGCACGGAAAGAGCAGCAGCTGCAGCACGAGATACTGTAAGCCACCTCAGTAGAATCATAGTTATTAAGAACGTGCACCAAGTTATTGTGTATTAGTTACATCAACATATCGTTTAATCAACATACTGCTTAACTCTTTCACCCTGTAAAAACCTTTTCAAAAATTATTTTTAAAAAAAAATTTTACTTTTATAAAAATGTCATTAAAAAGAAACGCCTTAATAGAATTTTCTGAAACTCTATCCTAAGAAACTAGAGGAAGAGAAGAAGAAGCAGAAGAAATTAGGAATCTTGGTCAGATTTTATAACAATTCTGGGTGTTGAAACCTGTAACCACCACACAGACAGGCCAGCCTGCTGGCCATTGTGTCATTATGCCCCCCCAAGTCACTAAAAAGATTGATTTTTCATATTTAGAGTCATTATTTTGGGCAAATTTTTTTTTTTAATATGAAGACTTGTAATCACTAAATGCAGACAGTCAGACAAATAAGTGCTTTCCTTCCCTTTGACCTTGAAAACAGGTTTTTGATATTACAGAGACCAAAATGAAGGCATCATAAGTTTATTAAGACGTCAAAGTGGCATCCCCAAAAATATCTCAATTTTTACAATTTTAATTGGGCAAATGTATTCACATCCACCACAACTCCACACTATTCAGTTGCAACCAGTAACAAAAGCTGTTATATCAGTGTATTGATTACTGCTTATGGACGTCATGTCATCAGAAACCAGCAAAAGCCAGAAAACGGCCTTTCTCTGGTTAAAACAAACAGTTGTAGAAAGGTAAAAACTGTGAACTTCAGGTTGCTATGTGGCTTCTAGGGCCCCATTTTGAGAGGATGGGAAGAATTGACCCCCTGCCTTAACAGGTCTGTCGCAAAAGGCAGCTAATTAAGGGATTGCAGAAAATCAGATGTGTTGCCCTGAAAGCATTAATATATATATGTATTATATATAATATTGCAGCCTAGCTGTAAACTCTCAGAACATCTCAGAAATGAAGACCATCTTGTGCAACAGGTCCCTCTCTTCGGTTGTCTGAAAGAGAGTACTATAATGTTATTTGTCAAAATAGCCTCTGGTTTCTGAGACGTATTTGCCGCCAGTGGCTTGTTGTTGTTGTTGTTACCGATCCAGTGGTGCATGAGCTTTCACCCTTTGGCCCAATGCCATGAAGTGGAATTTGCATGTTTTCTCAAGCTGTTCTTTTCCTCCGTACAAATTGTTCCACTTGTCTGGTCTCGGAAGCATTCTTCTAGTCTCGCTGAGTTTTGGGCACTCAAAGAAATAATGGTCAACAGTTTCGTAAAGGTAGTTACATAGTGGGCACTCTAGAAAGTATTGAGGCTGTATTCTGTTTAGGTGTCCATTGATTCTAATATGTTGTGTTCTGAGTCTAAAGATGGTGGCTTGGTCCCTCCTTGTTAGATGGTTGATGCTGTCGTTAGGATCAGGGTTAGCCATATGTCTATAAACCTCTTTTACAGTGTCCGAAGGCATTAATATGGCAGCCTAGCCATAAATTCTCAGAACGTCTCAAAAATGAAGAACATCTTGTGCAACAGGTCCCTTTCTTTGGATGTCTGAAAGAGTGTACTATAATGTTATTTGTCAAAATAGCCTTTGACTTCTGAGACGTATTCCGTGTGAGGTGGAGGTGTGATCTCTCGAGTGCGTCTGGATGGTGCGGCCGCTTCCTGCTGGGCCAAGATGAACTTCTCTCGCAGCCTGTGGGCCGTGCCTGCAGCTAGCAGATCTACAGTTCAATCTGTGTCAGCATCTTGAACAACATCAACTTGTTGGGCTGGCTGGTTTTCATATATCCCTTCCTATATTGCTGAATGGTAGTGAATCATGGAATGTGATTGCACAAATTAGAAAGAATTTGGAGGCGACGGAGATGTTTCCTCAGGCAATTATTAAGAATGAGTGGTGAAACCATCAGATAACTGTTTCTTTTTTCAAAGTTCTTATCATTACAATATGTTGTTTCATTTTACAGTATGGCACCTTGTATTTTTTGAAAAATGTTTTGTGGATTTCCCTTCTGTTAATTCCTGTATGTTCTTTTGCAGACCTCTTATCCTGAACCCACCCAAGCCTCACAGGCTTCATCGGGAGCCAGCCGGTCTCAGGCAGAAGAGGAGGAGGAAGAAGAGGAAGGCATATATGAAAACCAGCCAGCCCAGCGAGATGATGTTGTGCGAGAGGCTGACACAGATCGAACTGCAGATCTTCCAGCTACAGGCACGGCCCACAACCTGCGAGAGAAGTTCATCTTGGCCCAGCAGGAAGCGGCAGCACCATCCAGAAGCACTCGGGAGATCACCCCTCCATCTCACGCCGTCGGTGGCGAATATGTCTCAGAACCCAGAGGCCACTTTGACAAATATGAGGGAAAACCAGAATCTGGTATCTTTGAAAGCCAGCCAGTGGTAAAAACCGATGTGATTACTTCCACCACACCACAGGAGGAAGCCAAATATACATCTGGCCATGCTAAAAGCACAGCAGCTAAGTTCAAGGAGATTGAAAATCAGACCTACACACCGTCTGGAAAGAGAGAACTGACACCAGACCGCTCGGGACAGGTGGAGTATGTCTCTGAACCCAAAGCTCAGTTTGAGGTCTACGAAGGAAAGGCAGAGTCTGGTGTGTTTGAGAGTGAACCAGTGGTCAACCCAGACGTGATCAGGGCTGGGGAGGAGGTGCAAGAGAAATTGCCGGAGAGAGGTACCGCCAAAAACTTGGCAGAGAAATTTCTCCAGATTAGTGCGGAAACTGCCTCGTCACCAGTCAGTCCCCGGGGTAAACGGGAAATTACTCCGGATCGTTCCGGACGTGTTGAGTATGTGAGCGAACCTAGAGGTGCTCATACAGAAGATTATGAAGTCAAGGTGGATGCCGGAGTCTTTGAAAACCAGCCACAGAGAAACTTGGATGTCATCACCTCAGATACAGTTGTGAGTATAGACAAAATATCTGGGTTTGGGAGAGTAGGGTAGTATGCTAGTTGAGTAGTGTGCTAGCGTAGGTGAGCGGACCGAGAGATCTAAAATAGGTAAGAGGAATAGAAGAGAATCTCCTTGCAAGGGTATGGGGGTGGGGGGGGGGGGAACCGGGAGGGGGGCATTAGACCCACTGCCCCTTCCCTCCCGAACAAGCACGTTGTATAAGGCGACTTATTGGGGGTGTATGTGTACAAGGATTTTCACGCAAAGCTCGGTTTCTGGAACAGACCAAAATCCAGAACTTTCTGCCAGAGTTTACAGCCGGTGAATGCTAAGAAGAAGGACAAGAGTGGGAGAAGGAAAGGAGATTTCTGAATTGTTTGAGAGGGTGGAAAGATTTTCAGAGGAAGAGAATAGGAGGGAGGAGGAAAATGTTTCAAATATTGACAGGACAGAGAGATTCTTGATGTTTCTAAGATAGATTAGAGAAAGCATATAGGAGAGAAGGAGATCTGAAATACATGAGAGGAAGGTAGATTTCTTAAATAGATTAGGTAAGGGGAGTGAAATGAGGGCAAGAGAGAGTACAGTGATTTAATGTTACATTATAATAATATAAAATAGGAGGCCATAGGTGCTGGACTGGATTCCATCCATGATTTTGAAAGGATTACACATGGTAGAATGTAATGGGTGGAACATGCTGCCAAGCCTGTGTGATATGTATTGACATAACTGGAATGATGATGTTTCTAACATAGATGACAGGATAGACACACAGGGGTGATCGTTGTAAGTAGATGAAAGGGCAGAGAGAGGTGACATTTCTATTTAAACTGTTTGAGAGAGAGGGTCAGTATGTTTCTTGAAATCTATTTTGTAGGAGGGAGAAAGAAAATGTTGTTATCTCACACCAGTAACACTGATAGAGTTTATTTAGGTGAAGTTCTATAATTTGTAATCTCTATGGGAGCCGCCATGATGTAGCAGCTAGACACTCACCTGTGGTTCAAAAGGTCGTAGGTTTGGGCCCTGACAGAACCCGACTTAAAAAAAATTACTTTGGCTCCCAAAATGACCCAGCCCTGAGTGGGTACCAGGTACTGTCCTGGGAAATAAAGGCGGCCGACGTGATGCTGACCACATCATCTACCAAGTGTTGATTGATTTGTAAAATATAGGTCTAGCGTAGCGGTTTTCAACCTGTGGGTCAAATGACCCTTTTACAGGGGTCACCAAGGACCATCAGAAAACATAACACTGAAGTTATGAAGTAGCAACGAAAATAATTGAATGGTTGGGGGTCGCCACAGCATGAGGAACTGTATTAAAGGGTTGTGGTATTAGAAAGATTGAGAGCAACTGGTCCAGCCCTGTCTGCCCAATTTGCATAAAGACATGGAAAGGTGCCCTTACATTTTTGCGTGTGTATGTGTGTGTGTGGGGAAATATCTGTATGCTGCCTCCACACATGGATTCTGGGGCCCCATTGTGGGGAAATATCTGTATGCTGCCTCCACACATGGATTCTGGGGCCCCATTGTGGGGAAAACAAGAATAGACCCACTGGTTCCTGCTTTACCACCATTCATATCGTAAAAATAGACTATTTGGGAGGCTTCCTTCAAAGTCAAAGGGCTCTGCCGGAGAGGCAAGGAACCAATAATCTGCTTACAACAAGTCAAATCTGTAAAGCGGATGTGCTTGCAACAATGAGGTTCTTGAGCAAGACTGAAGTCCAGAGGTGGATGAACAACCGGAACTTTCTACTGCAATTTACAGCCAGTGAATGCAAAGAAGAAGAATAGTATGCTTCCATGATGTAGTAACTAGATGCTTGCTTGGACCCGAAGGTCATGGGTTTATGTCTGCATATAGCCAGTTTTTTTATTTTTTATAAATGACCTTGGCTCCTAGTTCAACCCAGCAAGAAATGAATACCAGGTAAAAGTCCTGGGAAATCAAGGGGGCTGGTGTGATGTTGACAACATTGTCCACCCAGTGCTTATCAGTCTGTACAATATAGGTCCATCACTGTATGTCCAACATGCTTAATGGCGTGGAAAAAAAGGTCCTTTACTTGTTAGCTGTATGCCAACATAAATATTTCTGTTACCCAGACCAGTGTGAACAGCAAGGGCAGTGGTTCCCAGCTGATAGCCCGCAAACCCTTGGGGTCCGCAGAACACATGTATTGGGTCTGTGATATTATAGGGAAGGGGTGGGGGGTGCTATTTTTTTGCAGTTCTCTTTTTTTAAATTAATATAAAATATGATTTTTCTAAAGTAGTGCGTCCATGGCAAGCCTCCAGAAATAAAATGGGTCCCCAGGTCTTGTCTGGTTTGGGAACCACTGAAGTAGTGTACTAAAAATCACTGGTAATTTCAAGTCTGTCATTCCTGATTTCCCTATATCAGTTATTTCTGTGTTTCCAACAGGCTGAGGATGCAGTCCCTGAGAGAGGCTATGCAAAAAATGTGGCTGCCAAGTTCAAAGAGTTGGAAATCACTGTCAAATCGCCATCATTGTCACCAGGCCGGAGAAAAGAGTTCACGCCTCCAAGAGAAGATGAGAGGTTCCATCTGTCAGGAGTCGTAGAAAATACTCCAGACTTCAAATCTGACGTCATCCATGCTGACGACCACTTGGAGGACGCACGCCCAGAGCGGGGAACAGCCAAGAACATGGCCCAGCGGTTCCGCCAGCTGGAGACAGAGAGTAAGACACCTGGCAGCTTTAGAGCCAAGAAGGAGTTCACACCCCCACCTGGAGACACAGGAGTCTATGAGAACCAACCTAAGCAGTTCCAGGCCGACTACAACAAGCCACCGGAATCTGGTATCATAGAGAACCAACCGCTGAAGCGAGATGATGTTGTTCGGGGCGACGAGCCCCCGAAATTCGAGGAGGAGCTCCCAGAGAGAGGGGCAGCCAAGAATCTGGTGAACAAGTGGAAGCAGTTGGAGACTGAAGGCACCAAAGTCAAATCACCAGGCTCAGGGCGTCCCAAGGAATTTACACCACCAAGAGAGGAACCAAGAATAGCAGAGCAGAGGAAGTGAGTCACTTTTAGTCATTCCGCTTTCTTTCCATGAATAAACTGTGTGTGCCATGTATAAGCCCCTCCTTCTTTCGTGTTCACTAAAAGTGCTGTTGGTACACTGTGTTGTGGTTTACAGTTAGGTTGTGGTATCTGTGCCTTTCGGTCTCCATATCATATTTAAGCAGATCACTTATTAGCCTTTTATAGCCTGCTTGTTAGATGAGGGCGGTTTTTTTTTAAATTCCCCCTACCACCACCACCAAAAAAAATTGGGCCCCAGAACCCAAAAATAATAAATCTTGAAATTTCAAAGGCCATTGTTAATTTATTTCCCATTGAAAGCAACTCAGTCTCAGAGATTAGTTTGAAAATAATCATCACTCTCCTGTTCTGACAGCTGTGGTGGATTATTTTGCCTCACTCACTACAGCTTCTTATTTCCAATGTACCATAGTTTTCCGTACATAAGATGAAATGTCATACACAGAATGTTTCAATGAAATGTATATGAAAATAAATGCCGCTATCCATAATCTTTCCTTCCAGTTTCCCCATCACTATTGACCTCATGATAAACTCTGGTCTGGTACCTCCACTCCCTCAGCAGCCACCACTCTATATATTGTTTCTTCCACTCACCCGGTTTCCTCAGCTGTGATGCTACGAGGGACCCCTTCCCCCCCCCCCCCCCCCCCCCCCCCCGCAACCACTTTTATTTTTGGTTCCATTCTCAAAGCGCACTCATGTAGGCAGCTGTGGCATGAAAAAGATTTACCTGCCATAATTACAATACTAAATATATCGGTAAAGTTGTTCTGTTTGATATTTTAACATATAGTACTAAATATACCTGTGTTTTGAATATGTAATAAAATATTGATGTTGTTCTTTTTGTTGTTTGCAATGTTTGTTTCTTAATTTTCAGCTGGAAAAAAATGGGAGTCTCAAGAAAGGGGTTTCTTATACACATAAAATATGGTAATCATACTACTTCATGGACTGTCAGAAAATCACCAAACAGACACTTAAATGGGAAACGTTGAAGTAATAAGTGAGGATGTCTAAAAGAAACCCTAAGGCAGACAGGGATGAGAAAGACCAAAGGTGCTGGACTGGATTCCATCCATGATATTGAAACCGTTGCATACGATAGAAAGGAGTGGAGAAATAAACTGCAAGCCATGTGGGACATATAGTGACACAAGCCCTGTGGGACATATAGTGACACAAGCCATGTGGGACATATAGTGACACAAGCCATGTGGGACATATAGTGACACAAGCCATGTGGGACATATAGTGACACAAGCCATGTGGGACATATAGTGACACAAGCCATGTGAGACATATAGTGACACAAGCCCTGTGGGACATATAGTGACACAAGCTCTGTGGGACATATAGTGACACAAGCCATGTGGGACATATAGTGATACAAGCCATGTGGGACATATAGTGACACAAGCCCTGAGGGATATATAGTGACACAAGCCCTGTGGGACATATAGTGATACAAGCCCTGTGGGACATATAGTGATACAAGCCATGTGGGACATATAGTGACACAAGCCATGTGGGACATATAGTGATACAAGCCCTGTGGGACATATAGTGACACAAGCCCTGTGGGACATATAGTGACACAATCCCTGTGGGATATATAGTGACACAATCCCTGTGGGATATATAGTGACACAAGCCCTGTGGGACATATAGTGACACAAGCCATGTGGGACATATAGTGATACAAGCCCTGTGGGACATATAGTGATACAAGCCATGTGGGACAAATAGTGACACAAGCCATGTGGGACATATAGTGACACAAGCCATGTGGGACATATAGTGACACAAGCCATGTGGGACATATAGTGACACAAGCCCTGTGGGACATATAGTGACACAAGCCCTGTGGGACATATAGTGACACAAGCCCTGTGGGATATATAGTGACACAAGCCCTGTGAGACATATAGTGACACAAGCCATGTGGGACATATAGTGATACAAGCCCTGTGGGACATATAGTGATACAAGCCATGTGGAACATATAGTGATACAAGCCATGTGGAACATATAGTGATACAAGCCATGTGGGACATATAGTGACACAAGCCATGTGGGACATATAGTGATACAAGCCCTGTGGGACATATAGTGACACAAGCCATGTGGGACATATAGTGACACGAGCCATGTGGGACATATAGTGATACAAGCCATGTGGGACATATAGATTTAAAAATAAAGATGCACAGCAAAAGTAATTATAATAAAGATCAGTAAGACTAAGGAGTACTGCTGAAGTAACCAGCTGTTGCTCTGTTGGCAGGAAGACAAGTTGATATTAGCCATTTCAATTTCTTACTGAATCCTCTGTAATGTGGTGGCAATCTTTTCTATCCAGCCATAAATAAACATTCTGACCTACACAGTTCATGGCATTGAGCAGTTTGATAATGCTTATAATGTGTTCGCTTATTCCAGATCTCCCCGAACTCCCCTCTCCCCCAGTGGAAATGAACAGCTGGATAACGGTTCAGTCCACCCATCAGACCTTCCAGGACAGTACCAGCCACAGAATGAACCATCTGTGTTTGAGTCCACTCCCGAGCAGCGCTCTGATGTTCTTCGAGAGGGCGACACAGACTGGGCCAAAGGCATGCCCAAGAAGGACCAGGCCAAAAAGATGTTGGCTAGATTCCAGAATCTCCAGGCCGAAGCCAACAAGCAGCCATCCGGACCTGCCCCTCGCAAGGTAAGGCTGTTATGACTGTGCACTTCTGATGTGTTAAGGCATCCTAAAGATTAGTGCATGGATCTGTGTAACCAACACCTAATGAGACCTGCTGAGGTCACAGGTCACAGTATATTATCATCACTTTAACATTAACCTTAACACAGGCATTAACTAGAGTCTGCCTGATCAGATGCATGAATTGTATTTTGATGCTACAGGTGATTGTTGGTCCTTTTCCTGAACCCATTGTAATCTTACCAACTCATCACACTGTAAACAGCGATTACAGTCATTTAAACTTGTCTTACATATCCTATTTTAATCATGAGGACACTATTTTAATGCTTTGCAGTTTATTTCCTGGCATATTTCACTGTATCTTTTCAGATGCATGACTACAGAGTTTACGTCAACATATAATAAAGAACAAAACATGAATCTTTTCCACTGAAATGCACAGCTCACACTGTCTCTTACTACACTGTACATATCTCCTCAGGGAAAATCAGGATTAGCATAAAATCACCACAGTAGTCTAAGATTAACCATGGGATCACCACGGTAGTCTAAGATTAATCATGGGGCCACCACAGTAGTCTAAGATTAACCATGGGATCACCACGGTAGTCTAAGAATAATCACGGGGCCACCACAGTAGTCAAAGATTAACCATGGGACCACCACGGTAGTCTAAGATTAACCATGGGACCACCACGATAGTCTGTTATTAACCATGGGATCGCCACAGTAGTCTAAGATTAACCATGGGACCACTGTGATGTTTGAAACCCCTTTTACTTGCCCAGCAGAAGCATATTTTCATTGGCTATTTATTGTGCCCCCACTGACTTTCAAGTACTCCTGGATTGACATGCTAATCAGTACCAGAATGTTTCATGCTGGTATGGCTCCAGCCACAGTACTAGTATAGAGGTTAGCATACCTGCCTGCCAACCCAGTGGTCAGATGTTCACATTCTCATGGAGGTAAATTAATTTAAAATGATCTACCCTACCAGGTCAACATAGGCCAAAATGGAGACCAAGAAATGTGCTGGAAAGTAAAGCTGCCCAGCATGATATGAACTAATTATTGAGTTCCAATTAATCTATAAAAAAAGCTAGCCACCTGCACAGAGCGCCATATAAAGCACAAGCTCTGTAGCTCCATTGACAATCCCTGAGGATCTCCATAAATGTTGTCATTCTCAGCTAAATGATGCAGAACGTGAAATGAACCCGCGACCTTCAGAAGCTGGCAAGACCACTTTGCCTCAGAGACCCCCCCCCCTTTCCCATATTACGTATCAAGACACTCTGGCAGTAATGATTTGTATATAAACCTAAAACAGCATTCTCAGACCTCCACTTTAATTACTTCCTAAATGTTGTTAGTATTGAATTTCTGCTTCATGATACACCTTTATCGTATTTTTAAAAATAGATTTTAAGTAAATATTAATTTATGGAATCAACCATGCTGTCTTAAATGGGTGGGGATGGTCGGTTAATTATTAAAGAACATGCTTTCAGTACACTGCAAATCATTTCATGCACCTTCCGTCTTTTCATGTCATCTACATTCAGAAATTTAATAGAATATATTTTTTAAAATTATTGTTCATCTAGTCCAGTCATTACCGGTTAGATAAGATCCGTGGACTGCCTCTTTTTTTAGAAGGTATGCCACAGTCCCCATACATGAAAAAAAAACATGTGAAAGTATGAAGGCCAAAACATGTGAAAGTATGAAAACAGTCTAAGGCCAAAACATGTGAAAGTATGAATACAGTCTAAGGCTAAAACATGTGAAAGTATGAATACAGTCTAATGCTAAAACATGTGAAAGTATGAATACAGTCTAAGGCCAAAACATGTGAAAGTATGAAAACAGTCTAATGCTAAAACATGTTAAAGTATGAATACTGTCTAAGGCCAAAACATGGGAAAGTATGAAAACAGTCTAATGCTAAAACATGTGAAAGTATGAATACTGTCTAAGGCCAGAACATGTGAAAGTATGAATACAGTCTAAGGCCAAAACATGTGAAAGTATGAATACAGTCTAAGGCCAAAACATGTGAAAGTATGAATACAGTCTAATGCTAAAACATGTGAAAGTATGAATACAGTCTAATGCTAAAACATGTGAAAGTATGAATACAGTCTAATGCTAAAACATGCAGATGTAGCTAAAATTATTTCAAGTGTAAAGAAAGTCTGAAGTGCCATTAGGACACAAGAAATAGTTATCTGTAGGGGACATTAGTGTCTGTAATATACACAGTATACAAATAATTATATGGATTCCCTGATTCCAGAGTGAAAATTGGACCATAATAATTAATGATAGTTATTTGATATTTTAAGTGTATAATGATATTTTTAATGGCACACATAAGCTCTCCTAATAGGCGGATACTAAATAAACAATCATCATCATGTAGCAGGTCCTTTGCAGAACGTCGCTCTCATCACAGTCATCGCCAGTTCTCCCGCCTCATCCACTTTTACACTCAAGGAGTCACTAATATCCTTTGCTCAATTTCGTGTCGGTCGGCCCCTGCTCCTCCTTCCTGGTACCATGCCTTCTGCTATAATTTTTTCCAATCCATCGTGGCGCTTGATATGGCCAAAATATTTCAGCTTTTGAGAAAGGATGCTGTTTATTAGCCACTCTTTCTTGATGTTCAGATCTTTTAAGATGTCAACATTTCTCATCTTCTTTGTCCAAGATATTATGAGAACCTTTCTATAACATTTCAGCTCAAGAGCCTCTATTCTCTTTCTTAAGGACTGAGAGTCAGTCCATGACTCACATCCGTATGTAGCCACAGGGAAGATGCATGCTCTCAAAATTCTAATTTGTATCTCCTTGCTGGTGCTTAACCATAGACCTTTAAGGCTGTTCAATCTTTGCATTGCTATGGCCATCCTTTTTTAAATTTTTGTCGAACAGTCTCCATTGATGTTTATTATAGAGCATAGATATAAATAAAGAATACACTTTGAAAATGTCCACCGCCGTAAGGGAATTAACCAGGCTTAAAAAGTAATAAATCTGTGTTCCTTCCCTTTATTTAATCTCTCTCTCTCTCTCTCTCTCTCTCTCTCTCTCTCTCTCTCTCTCTCTCTCTCTCTCTCTCTCTCTCTCTCTCTCTCTCTTTCTGTATGCATGTGTGTTTATCTCTCTGTCTGTCTCTCTCCGCCTTTTGTTTTCATTACAATATAGGTCCAAATTGACCTTGGTTACAAGATCGACCCAGTCTAAAATGGCTACCATGTAAAGAAAAGTAAAAGCAGCCGGCGTGGTGTTGACCAAATTTTCCCCCACCGAGTACCGTTTGATCTATATACAGTAACAGTGACTCCAGCATCGAATGCTCTACGTGCCGCTGGCATAAACAACCTTCCTGATAAACAAAAAAGGCTCTCAACTTTCACAGTGCGGGTCAGCTCACTTGTTGCCTAAATCCCTTTAGAGGAGGCACATTAGCATCTTCATTATTATCAATCAACATATCTTTTACAGAACGTCGCGGTTGTCACGGCACGCTTGAAAGTCTTTTTTTTTTTTTTTGTATATAGCCAGTTATCAATTCCTGTGCGCTTTTCATAGCCAATTCAATCTTCACTGCCTTCTGTCCGATTTTGCGAAGGTCTGCCTCTGTCCTGTTCCATCCCAACGCTCCACATTGGTGATTCTACTACCTCCATTCTTCACAGGCGCTAGTTAGTGAATGTTTGCAGTTGATGTAGTCTGGTGCAGACTTCGGTTACTTGGTAACTGTCGGGGTTCCCATTATAACCTTACGGCTGAACAGGGCTTACTTGGATGTGTACACGTAGGGTTCTCATTTTTGAGGTGTTAGTAATGCGGACTTCAAGTTCTTTGGTAACGGTCGGGGTTCCCATTAAAACCTTACGGTTGAATAGGGCGAAATGGGATGTGTACACGCAGGGTTCTCATTTTTGAGGTGTTAGTAATGCGGACTTTAAGTTCTTTGGTAACCGTCGGGGTTCCCATTAAAACCTTACGGTTGAATGGGGCGAAATGGGATGTGTACACGTAGGGTTCTCATTCTTGAGGTGTTAGTAATGCGGACTTCAAGTTCTTTGGTAACCGTCGGGGTTCCCATTAAAACCTTACGGTTGAATGGGGCGAAATGGGATGTGTACACGTAGGGTTCTCATTCTTGAGGTATTGGTAATGCGGACTTGAGGTTCTTTGGTAACCGTCGGGGTTCCCATTATAACCTTACGGTTAAACGGGGCTTACTAAGATGTGTACACGTAGGGTTCTCATTCATGAGGTGTTAGTAATGCGGACTGTCGATCAGGAGGGGACCATCTGCGGCAGAATATTAAAACCAAAACAACGACGCTAGTCACTCTGCCACTACAGTTGAGTGAAACGCACAGCGGAATACATTTTATCAGGGTATTATACAGGGGAGATGGGGGTGAACAGACGTGAGTCATTTGATCGCGAAAGAAGATGGTCCTACCTAATGAGTAATTGCCTAATGCGATAATTGGTGAAACGAGGCGAATAGCTGACTCGTTTTTTTTTTTTTTTTTACTAAGGCAGGATTCGAGACGGATGAACCACTTGAGACAGAAATTGAGGAGACCCTGACAAGAGTTTGTTGATGGTCTTACGCATAGAGAGTCAGGAGGTGAGCGAGATGGAGTGCGGGTGTTAAAAAAAAAAACTGTATATGATATAGAGTGTAGGCTTCCACAGAATTGGTCGATATTCTGCCAGCGGGCAGCGGTAGTGAGGGCAATGAACGGGCGCTAGTTGAGATGTAGCTTGGAGATTTGCAGTGACGGCGATTTTCTCGGAACAAAACCGAAATGCAAATATGCACTAAGCTGGAGAATGCGAGCTGATCGATACTCTCTCGCCACAGAGCCAGTTGTTCGTATACCCACCGAACCCCTGGTTCATAGACCGGTCATCTTCTCGAGGCGAAGACTTGGACTTACTACACAAGGCGTATTATATTTTATCTT